CTGTACCTACGGCCTGTCCAATGGCCGTGGGCCTCCAGGTCGCGTGCTTGGAACAGGCGCGCGGCCTAGGGGCCCTCAACAACCGTCGGGCCCGAAAATGGGCCCGTGTGTCAGGCTCAGCATGTAACACTTTCTTGGAGAGAGGAAGAAAGTGGTGTGAAGAGAACCAAAGGAGAGGTGAAAGGAAAATAGAAACAAGAGAAAGGAGGACACGGATAAAACGAAAATGGTCTCCGATGGATACTCTGCATGAGTCCACATTTACTGCAGCAGCGTCTGCCTGGGAATGGCACTGTTCAGTGAAGCATAACATCTTCCTTAAACCGCTAGTACATGGCCCCAGCCTTGCAAAAAGTTTTTGTCGCCACAGGCAAAACTTGGAGGCGCCGCGCAGCCAGGCCCGCCGTCGAAAAAAAAAATTGGCGGTCTCCGAAGTGGTGTGGGTTTCATGCTGACACCCGCGGGCCGATATGTGGTGTACTGGTGCTTTAAACCACCAGTACTTCCTAAAGTCGCGTAGCGTAACGCTACGCAATTTTAGGAAACGTACGGGCCACTACAGGAGCGCCCAAATTCATCCAACTAGAAACGTTTCTACTCTATTGTTTTCCGCGGCCAATAGCTGGGCCAAATACTGGTGGTTTAAGATCAGCTTTGCTTCCTTTGCTTGACATCAATGTTCCTAAAGTCAATTTAATATTTATGGCTAGTCAATGGCAAAATAGAGGAACTCAATGGTTCACAACTCAGATTGAGGGATTGGCATAAATAATACATCACAAGCAGTTGTAACTTGTAAGGGCTCTTACCCCACAAGGAGCCGAAGCCTATCTGGAGATGAGACACAGCCTCAACTGCCGAACACAGGATCTGAGTGATACAGATGGTCAAAAATATAACTGCCTAACCAACAACACTGATGGTTAGCCAGTCATATCTTTGACACCAATATGTATTGTTGGTTAGTCTAGACACCCATATCATTGAGAATCTGTATCCCTCAGATCCTGTGTTTGCCAGTTGAGGCTGTGTCTGATCTCCAGAGAGGCTTCTGCTCCTCGTGTGGTTAAAAGCCGTTACAAGTTTACAACTGCTTTTTTTTTTTTTTTTTTTAAACAGGCCCTTATGGTCCTGGCTCCATATCCATTCTGGGGAGCGTCATTGAGCTCTTCTATTTTGCCATTGGCTAGCCATCAAGTGACTTTACGAACATTAATGCCAAGCAAAGGAAGCAAAGCGGATCCTAAGGAAGATCCTACGCTTCACTGAAGAGTGCCATTCCCAGGAAGACGCTGCTGCAGTTGAGGCTCTGTCTGATCTCCAGAGAGGCTTCTGCTCCTCGTGTGGTTAAAAGCCGTTACAAGTTTACAACTGCTTTTTTTTTTTTTTTTTAAACAGGCCCTTATGGTCCTGGCTCCATATCCATTCTGGGGAGCGTCATTGAGCTCTTCTATTTTGCCATTGGCTAGCCATCAAGTGACTTTACGAACATTAATGCCAAGCAAAGGAAGCAAAGCGGATCCTAAGGAAGATCCTACGCTTCACTGAAGAGTGCCATTCCCAGGAAGACGCTGCTGCAGTCAATGTGGATCAAAAACATATGTCAGAGTACGCGTTGGAGACCATTTTCGTTTTCTCCTTTTCCTCCTTGCTCGTGTTTCTATTTGCTTTCACCTCTCATTTGGCTCTCTTTACACTGCTTTCTTCCTTTTTCGAAGAAAGCTAGTCACTACCTTTGAGGCGAACCCCTTGATTCTGGTTCCTCTCCACCGGGAAAACAAAAATACTAAGATAAGATATGCCAATGAGCATTGATCACACTTGGAATGGAACTCCCTCCTATGGCATGATTTCGTCTTCGTCTCCTCAGTAGCACTCTTTTGAGAGTGCGTTTTTTTGCTGTGGATGATGAAAGTCGTACGAGTGGACAACTAAGCTAATAGAATGTCACAACCTCCCTTGGAGGGAAACAGCCATGGCCACAGTTCGGGAGCTTGCAGCTTTCCAAACGCTGCAAAACATGATAATGTTTTTCCTAGATCCCTTGTCAGTCATAGGTAATGAACTGGTCAGATCATATTGGGCAAATGGAAAGGGGGGAAATCCAGACTGTGATACTCGAGACAACTTTTGGGCACATTAAAAGAGGGGGAAGGGAATAGGACTGAATGGCAAAACAGCCCTGTGCATGAAAAATAGACAAGATGATACCCTTGGAAACAGTCCATTACGCATGCATCAAACAAGCACTCATTGCCACGAAAGGACGAAGACTCGTTTCAACGCTGCAAGGGAACCTAAGAGTAAGGAGGAGGAGGTGCTTCGAGAGCCTCTCTTCTGCTGATGGCCAAGCCATTTACAAGGACAAACATCACGAAAAGAGATGGAGTGAGTGGACATTCTTGAAACATGTGGAAACATGGCCAGAAAGGAGTGGAAGACAAGAAGAAACGAACCTTGTCAATAATCACGTCTCGCAATGGGTCCCATCGCCCATGCAGCTGCAAGCTTATTGTTCGAGCAACGAGCTTCTGTGAGTCGAGCAGAGTCAATGTCTTTTCAACAGGATGCACACGAAGAATGCTGTCCTCCCCTACATCCAATTGACATGGGTGCTCCTTTCCAATACCGTGTTCATTTCCATCTCCATCATCGCCTGGCATGTCAGAAAGAAAAGCAACAATTCAGAAGATTACCCAAGGATTGACCTAAACCAGTGAGCACCACTCCGCTGACGCCGAAGAAGTAGCTGTTCCGTTCTTTGACAAATGAGCATTGTATATCCATAAAAGAAATTGTCCTCGAGAAACACAAGCAGCCCTATGTTTGGGATTTCCTTTTCCCATACACAATTAAGTGGAGCTAAGACAGTTGCTTCTAAAGCACTGGTGAGTATTTGACAAGCCGCCACTATCCCTTTCACAAAAAAATATGATCCTTGCTTGGCACCACCACTCCTACACATCGGGTTTCCTTTTACTTCTTCCATCATTACTTTTGTAGGCAGACTTATCTGAAAATCTGTCAACAGACTCGACAAAGTTGGCCATTGCTCCGAAATTTCCTGCCACAACATCACGATCAACCGTGAGTACTTTTTTTTTTTTTTTTTTTTTAACTAGCAGAACAGAACCTTATGGTTCTGGCTCCTTTTCCATTCTGGGGAGCATCAGTCCGGTTCCTTTTCCACCGGCAAGTCAGAAGATATTACAAAGATTACTCACACACTCTCCTCCCCCTTATGGTGGGAAGGTCCAAAGGTTGGCATTGATTACTTCCCGAGAGAAGGATGTACCCTCCCTCACCCCTGCCTAAGTGGGCCTGTACTAACTGCTACTGAAATTAGAAACTATTCTACCTATCTTGTTGTCACGGTGCTTGTCAGTCGTGAGTTCGAGGTCCGGACCTTCTGTTCCTCTCAGTTTCTTGACTGTCAGATTTGCTTTATCCACTAGAACGGAAGGTTTAACCCTTTTAGGGACTGCTGCTAAAACCCTGAACCCTTGCGTGTGTGTTTAGGTTGCTCCTTGCTGTAGCTTACGGTGTGTCCTTAGTCTGGGGGCTGTTGGGGCTGTGCAGAGTGTACCCTTGATAACCGATGTAATAATACTTTTAATGGGGAGGGGATAGTTTTAGTGAGTTTATAAGAGTGATGAGGGATAGGATAACAGGTGGGTTAAATGGTACTGAGGGGATGGTACAATGCGATGCTATAAGTTTTGGGTTTTCTTGCCTGTAGGGGGGGTTAATGAATCTGCCTTTGACGTGAGTTTGCTCGGTCCTATCTTTTGGTGCAGCGATCTGGTCTCTCGTGGAGGTGGAGATATTCGAGAATTAGGTGTGCTGGGGGTGAGGGGTTGGTTTTGTGGCGCTGGTTGGAGAGGACACTTTGTGAGGGGGGTTGTGTGGAAAGGTTGTGATGTTTATTGGGGGGACTGTGGATGGGGTGTGTTGGTTATATGGGATGGGATGTTTTGAGGTGGGTTCTGGGTTGTGGTGGGTATTGCCAGGTTGTTGTTGTTGTTTGAGGGTGGGAGGGTTATCCAGCTCTTGAGGATTAGCATGCCATTTTTAATAGTTCCTAGGTGTCCTGATCCCAGTTTTTGTGCTGTGAATTTATGTATTATTTCTGATTTTTTGTCTGGGGCGTTAGTTGCTTGTTTCTGGGCTTTCTTCCAGTGTGTAACTAGCTCTGTTTCTGTTATATGTTTTATTGTGGTTATTGGGTTCTCGGGGTTGATGGGATGTTCTTCAAAGGTTTTGTCGCATCTTCTTTTCCATAATCCCCAAAGGATTGCTTTCCTGATGAGGGAAAATAAGAACGCTTCCAAGCCTTTGAGAGGTGGGGGGGTTTGCTCCTGTTCGAGGAATATTGTGCCAGGGCTTATCATGATTGTTTTGTCTGAGAGGGTGTTCCGGTAAGCTCAATTTCGTGCCATATTTTCCTGGCTTCTGGGCAGTCAATGAAGCAGTGGTTTAATGTTTCCGGAATATGGAGGTTGCAGACTTTGCACCAAGAGTCGTGATCTGTTCTGCTTTCCTTGTTGCGTCTTTGTGCCAACCACTGGTTTACCGGTACTGCTTTGAAGGCTATCAGTCATCTTAGGTTGGCTAGTTTCACTGGTCTGGTGCTGAAAATTGATGGCCATGGTAGAGCGATTTGGGATTCGGTGAGCGTGCTTTCTTCTTTTGCCCATCTTTTTTGTAGAATGTTGGTTATCGAGGTAGGTTTTGAAAGGAGGAGGTAGCCTAGTCTGGGGTGATAATCGGTAAGTTTGTGGCGTCGTGAGACCGTGGTGAGGCGGCTAGAAGCGTTCCAGGACCATTCTGTTAGATCTATTTCCAGTTCCTGTATGCTTGAATTGGGTTTAAAGACCCTGTTTTTTCCCCCTTCGATGACTCTTATTCTCTTTAGGTTATTTGATATGAATGATGCCTCTGCTCTGCTTTCTGTGTTAAGGAAACTTGCTGGATTCCCTGGTTCGTCTAACGTATAGATGTCGCAACAGATCCACTCGTTGTTCTGGGTTTCATATGCTTTGAACTGCAGGACTTCCATTATCAGTTCCTGGTCCTTTGTTGTTGCCCAGTCACCTGGCTGCCATTTCTGGGTCGTTTTTATTAGGCGTCTCCTTTCCATGGGGATGCTCTCGATTATTTGGTTTATACTTTTTTGAAGGTGGTGTGTGCCTTTCATGATTGGTCTTAGGTCCTTTTCTGATTTCCATGCATTGGATGCACTTTCCCAGAGATGTTGAATTTCCCATATTCCCTTCCCTACCCATAGTCCCCATTTGGCTTCTGTTTTGGAAAGAAAGAAACATTGCCCTTTCTCATTTTTAATCCATGGATTCCCAAAGAGGGGTTGTCTGAGTACTTCGTCTCCTCTATTGGGACTTATTTCGTTCTCGGGGAATATGGTTCTCCAATTTTGTATGATTTGTGCCCATAGGTATTTTGGGGGTTCATCCTCATATGTGTTGTCTTGAGTTGGTTGTTGGTTCTGATTTCTTTTGCCTTTGGGGAGGGGCCAATGTTTGTTGTAGATCCAGAAAAGCCCTGACATGTTTTCGGGAGATTTGAATGGGGCTAATGCCCTTATGTGGTTCAGAGTCACAGGGGCCCAGTGTAGGTTGTCTTGGAGTGATATTCTCAGTATCCACTTGATTTGAAGGGCCTGGATCTGTCGAGCTGGGTCGAGGAGACCTAGGCCTCCCTTGGCTTTGGGTTGAGTGATAGTTTGCCAAGCCACTTTCTGAATGAAGTGCTCTTTGTCTGGGTCACCTGTCCACAGGAAAGCTGCCGCCTTTTTCCTGATCTGGCTTTGGAAATTTTCTGATGGGAACCAAATGGAGGTGGCATACCACATCATGGCTAGGATGGAATTATTGAGGGCTAGGACTTTGCCTAGTAGTGAAGTGCGCGCGCTCTTCCACGTGCGCATTCTGTTAATCATGGATGATAGCAGGGAGGCCGCTGATGTATTATGGCATCCTTTAGTATTTAGATTGATTCCTAGAAAGCGGATCAGTTCGTTCTATGGGGGGAGGATCTTCCGAGAACCACCATCCTGTTGTTTTTGTCCTGTTAACTCTCATTTCGGAGGCTAGTTGAAAGGCTTGCATTGCTCTTGTCAACGCCTGGAAGGAAGAGTTGGATGCCCTGATGAGAACCGTGAGGTCGTCTGCGAAAAGAAGGGTGGCCGAGATGTGTAGGGGTTGGCCTCTTTCATCTTTGATGTTAGTTAGTCTCTCTATGGATGGGTCTTTTCTCAAGAAAGCTGCTATGGCTTCCATTACAAATGGGAAAACTGGAGCTGCTAATGGATCTCCTTGTCTTACCGATCTTGACATTTTATAAGCGTTGGAGAGAAATCCGTTGATTTGTACTATGCCTTGTGCATCATTGTATAAAACCTTTACCCATTTTTTGAAGGTCCGGCCGAGACCCATTTTTTCCATTGAGGCTTGGAGAAATTCCCAGTTTACTTGATCGTATGCCTTTTCAAAGTCGAAGAAGAGGATTGCCGTTGTTATCTTCTTTTGATTTATTAATCTGGTATTCTCGCTGAGAGTCATAACATTGTCTAGGATAAGTCTGCCTGGTATAAACCCTGTTTGATTAAGGTGGAAACATCCACCTGTGATCCGGATTATCCGAGAAGCTAGTAGCTTGGCTAGGATTTTGTAGGAGACGTTTAGTAGGGATATGGGTCTGTAGTTCCTTACGTCTTCTTTGTTTCCTTTCTTGTAGAGAAGGGTCACTACTCCCGTGCTTAGCATTGGTCCTAGGGATTGGAGAAGAGGGCCTAGTTTGTGCCAACTTTCTAGCCATAATTCTTTTGAGAGGCCGTCTCTACCTGGTGCTTTGTTGGGTTTTAGGTCTTTGAGTGCGGAGTGCAATTCTTCCATTGTGATAGGTTGTTCTAATGAGTTTGCTGTTTCTTTTGATAAAGTTTGGTCTAGGTATTCTAGGAAGTTAGCTCTGGCTTTGAGTGTTTCGTTGGTTTTGCTGGTGTATAGGTCCCTGCAGAGATTAGTAGCTATGTTGATTAACTGGGTTGTTTCTGAGGTGGGATTACCGTGTTCATTTGATAAGCTTTCTATCTTGGAGTTCCTGGAGTTGGATTTGATTTTTTGGAAAAAGAATTTCATCATTTTCTCATTTAGCTCCCAATCGTTTACTCTGGTCCTTAGTTGTAGCCCCCATTCGGCTAATTCTTCCTTAGCCTTGGTGTATAATTCTGCATAAAATTCTGAATTAGTGTCTTTTTGAAGATTTGTTTCGGCAATTTCTATTGCATTCCTTAGTGTTTCTACTCTTTCTTTCCTTTGTGCTGCCAGTCTTCTTGATGTTTTCCAAGGGAGGTTTTCCTAATGCATGAGTAGTGTTTTGCGTTGGGGGTAAGGAGGCGATATGGGTCTATTAGGTTCTTTCTTGTCTTAAAGTCTCCTAGGTCTGTGCTGTTGGATTGTGGTGAGGGATCTTGGGAGTTGGAGATTCTGTCCAAGGTGACATCTTGTACTGAGTTCTGGTCGCCCATGATGATGGTGTGATTGTGGGTGGGGATAAGTTGTTCTAGCGACCGGAGGAAGGGAGTTTTTTCCTGTAGTACGTTCGGACCGTATATGCCCAGGATGGATATGTTCTCTTCTT